GGTCATTTGGGACAGTGTCGAATGCCTTGCAGAAGTAAAGTATGGGAACTGTACTTTGGCCTCTTCTTGAGGGCTTATGCATATGATACTGATATACTGGCTCATGCAACTCACTTTTAAAAAAAATAAGTAAGTGTGAGCAAAAGTAAAAAGGTCTGTTTAACGGAAAACAGTGTGAGCTTAACTATGAAGTCTGCACGGTGGTTTCAGATTTGGGGGGTACTTCAGACTGCCTGTTTCTATATTCTGCTCATCGCTAACATAATGTCATTGGCAGAGCTCTATGGAATACAAGGAGTGAGAAAAGTGCAAGTCCTGGCTCACATCATAGCTGTGATTATGTGGTTGCACAGATTCCCCATTATGACAGTATCAACTCAGCTATGAATGATCCCTTGATCTGCCCAAGTTGGCATGTCTGTTCTTCCTGTTTCTCCAATAAAATGACTGTTACCTTTTCACTACAGATTTGACATATCATGAGAGTTGTCTGGAATACTAAAACCTGTTTTCTGTCAGATTTTCTATTCAAATACCTAGATTTCCTAAATGAGTTCATGTTCCATTTTTGACATGAGCAGAACAGGATGCAACCCTAAACCAAGTTATTTCAAGATACAAATTTCACAAGTAATTAAAAGCTTCTTATTCCAGAATTGAACTTTGTTTTCTTCAGTTTATCTTTAAATAAAAACTATCTTTAAATCTACACACAGAAAGAGTTTAACACGTTGTTGGATAGTAATACTACTCAGAACCTAAATCTTTAAAAAAAAAAAAATCATCTATAAGGTAGGTAAACATATAACAGTGAAGTTAGTTGTAGAAGAATGAATAATTATTGAAGAACCATGTGACAGTAGTATTCAAAACCAAACTCCATCCTCCCATTATCCCAAGACATTTCCCCTCTCTCGAATGATGATATCTATAGCAACATGTTTATTATTCACCTGCGACTCATGTCCAACTGAAAATGGTGCTCGTCCTGTCTCCACACCAGTCTCATCTGTGAAGGCACTGCTTAGCAGACTGATGGGTTTTGTCCCAGATTTTGTCCCCACTTCTTTACCCTGCTAATAATAAGAACTCATAATTAGGTGGAAATTACAGTTACTGAGCTAAAGTAAAAAGCTAAATCTGGGGATGCAAAAATTGACATTGGAAACAAGATAGTGTCATATGCAGTAACGTTTTGTAATGCTCAGTTTCATAATTCATCACATTGGCATAATAAAAAACAGCAGAAGATACTGCTTTTAAAAAGCATTTCTTTGTCCTAATCAAAGTTTCCTGACCTCTACACTCCTGCAGACTACCATCCTTTCAGATTCAATACCTGCTCCAAAATATAGCTAAGTGAGAGGGCAGATCTGAAATAGAATGCATTTTAAGGACAGAGAGGCCATTGTGATACTCTAATTTGGCCTCAGGTAAAAATGTAGGATTTGTCATGATTAATTCCAGCTTGGTCCAGTAGCTGTAAATTAACTACAGCATAAATGTTAGGAAAACAGGCAATCTGATTTAAAACATTTACAGTGAAGGACAAGGCATTGTAACCCTTGGTAAGCTGGCCTGGTGATTAACTATTTGTCATTTTCGTGTTGGTTTAGTGTTTTACTGAGGCTGCATCTTTGTCTGCACATTCTGTCCAATGATATCAAAACTCTGTATGAATATTAATCAATGTTCATGTTTAACCTCATGTAATTAACCCTACAGCATCTCCATGAGGTGAGTAATATATGTTGCAAATGAGAAAGTGGGAAAAAAAGAGAGGTCAGATGGTTCCCAAAGTCACCCAGAAAGTTCCCAGAAGATCTAGAAAAGGATCAGAATATCCAAATTCCTTGTTCCCAAAGTGCCTTTCCTTTTTCATCACCCTCACCGTCCTATGAGCCATTCATCTATAAGGATGACTTTTGGGTATGGAACTGCCCAGACAATGTGATGTTTTTCTTCTCTGCAGAAGCAAGCTTTCTAACCTCTGTAGCCCACTCAATTGATGGAACAGGGATGCCACAGAAATACAGCAGTAGCATATATACTAATATACTGCAGTTCATATTTGCTAACTTTTTGAGTAGAATGGTGAATTAAGTGAGGTCTTTAATAATGTCTTGAATAATAAATTAGGCAATGTTATGGCAATGTCATATCCCATGACATTGCACCACTTAATAACAAATAAGCTTACTGCTAAGAAGTTTAAATAGAGGTGAGGAAAATATGGAAAGGAAAATCAATGCTTATGGTTTTACCTTTCTCTGCCAAGGGTGTGGAAAGAGTAAGTAGAGATTTACAGTGAAAGTTGAAACTCTTCTCTACACTTGAAAGTAAAAAATCAAAAATATACTTTGGAGGTAAAATGCAGTTGTATATATACAACAAATAACAAATACTGGCATCAAGGCAGTCTGCAAAAATTGACTAACAGTATTTTTTTAAGTATGGGTTGTGCATCTAGCAGTTAATAAAGGAACAAATCCACAGATGAGCCCATATAACTGTGCCATACTAAGGGTAAATATGTGAAAATGGAGAAGCAAACCATATTCCCCCAAGGCAGTATCTTTCAAAACAACTATTTCAGCTCTATACTGAAGCAATCATATTATATTGAACGTTCAAGCTTACTTCACCCTGTACCTACCCCTACCTGCTTTCCAGATAAGAGGTCTTTGCGTTGTACTGTGCTTGGTTGGCGTCCCTCGCTGGGGGGAGAGCGGCTGTCAGCCACTCCTCCCTTGCCCTGAGTCAATTGCTGGGTAGTCTTTGATACGGTTTGCTCCATAAATAACAACTAGGCACACACAAAAATTATTGAGATAGTCAAGTAATATTAAGTCATACTAAGTCAGGCATCACTGTTCAGTGAAAACCTCCCTGTCTGCCCATTTTTCCATTTTACTACATAGAAGTCCAACTCCTACCCAGTCAGTTCAGAAAGTGAGATGAGCCCAGGTAGATTCAGCACCCCAGGGACAAATTTGTGAGGAAGGTGAAAGTAGTATTGCTCCCTGAGGCTCATGATTGTTCTGTTTGACATAAGTCCAAAATGGCAACTGATCTGTGGGGCCAGGGATAGGGGGGATATATGTAAAAAATATTTTGTGACATGTGGATCTAGCAGTTAACAAAGGAACAAATCCACAGACGAGCCAAAGGTGAGCCCATATAACTGTGCCATACTAAGGGCAAATACGTGAAAACGGAGAAGCAAACCATATTCCCCCGAGGTAGTATCTTTCAAAACAACTATTTCAGCTCTAAACTGAAGCAATCATATTACATTGAATGTTCAAGCTTAGTTCACCCTGTACCTACCCCTTCCTGCTTTCCAGATAAGAGGTCTTTGCGTTGTACTGTGCTTGGTTGGCGTCCCTCGCTGTGGGGAGAGCGGCTGTCAGCCACTCCTCCCTTGCCCTGAGTCGATTGCCAGGAAGCCTTTGATAGGGTTTCCTCCATAAATAACAACTAGGCACACACAAAAATTATTGAGATAGTCAAAAGTCGTATTAAGTTATGCATCACTGTCCAGTGAAAACCTCCCTGTCTGCCCAGTTTTCCATTACACTTCATAGAAGTCCAATTCCTACCCAGTCAGTTCAGGAAGTAAGATGAGCCCAGGTAGATTCAGCACCCCAGGGACAAATTTGTGAGGAAGGTGAAAGTAGTATTGCTCCCTGAGGCTCATGGTTGTTCTGTTTGACATAAACCCAAAATGGCAACTGATTTGTAGGGCCAGGGATGGGGGGCGGGGGGCTATATATATTAAAAAATACTGTTTCTAACCCTTGCCAGAGCTTTCCTGTCCTTCAACATGAGCCTGATGTTGCAGAGGAGCACAGACATTATTTTAAATGCCAAGAAATCATCACCTTCTGCAAGTTGACAAGTGAACCTGCTATCGCTTATTTTGGATGAACCTTATCAGTACTCTTCAGGGATACTGAATCATTTGAATAGTTCTGTTGTTACCAAGAGGACAGAAATCTCAGGCAAGAGAACAGGGTATAGCCCATTCTTTAAACAATAATAGAAAGGGAAGAGGGTTTAAAAAACTTACCTGTTCCTCCTATTCTTTCAAGAAATTTTACAGGGTAATTGGTTTACTTATATATTTTTTCTGAGAACAGTCTGCAGACTGTTTACTGAAATGCATTCTCTGCCTGTCACTTTCTAAAATTTCTTACTCTATTTCCTAGCTTAGAAGGGTAATTCACCCTTCTCATTTGTTCTCCATAAAAGCCGAGCTTTTGCCTTCATGCCCAAGATTTGCTCTTTACTTCCGTGATCTTAATCAGAAATCTTATAGACAGGCAACAAACAGATGGAAAATATAAGTCTGTGAAAACGCAGAAGTGCATTACTTTGAAATATTGCATTCTTGCACTGTAAGTGTTGCCAATGGCCTTGCCAGATATATCTGTATGGAGGCTACGTGCTTTGGAGAAAAGAACGTGAGTTCCTGGATTTTAGGCTTCACTTGACATTGGTGTGTGGCCTTGAATAATGCTTCATTGGTCCTCAGTTTTCATGTGTCTAAAAAGGATCACAATGTGTACGTGTTCTTTTGGGTATATATGTCTTTATCTGTCCAGGTACTTGTGTGGTTCTCATCATAAGTAACATCTCAACACATGTGTACATGGTATTTAAAATATGTAAAGGTCTTTTAATGCTACTTATGATGGTTTGCAAGTCCGGTAATTTCTCTGCCCTTAAAGGAATGTTCTTTCCTCAAAGCTGGCCGAACAATTACATTTTGTAAAAAATAAACTTTTGCAAAGCCTATAATCAATAGGAAAAAAAAAAAATCCATTCTATTTTAATAATGAAATTCCAAGAAAAACAATTTTACAAGCAAGCATTCCTCTGTAGAGGTCACAGCTCTGCTAACTCACTGAAACTGGAAACTCATTGTGAACAGTCTAACAAATTCACTGTCAAAGCCGAGAAATATTCAAGAAAAGACAAAGACAAAGCAATTAGCACTTTTTTTTTCTTTTAATAATGTGCAGACTTTTCAAATGCTTCCTCTGAAAAATAGATATGAAATCTGGTTTGGTTTTGTTTTGTTTTGCTTTCAGTAGTGACCCAGAACTGTATATTCTAAAATACGACTTTACATACTGAAAATGCAAACAGGGCTGCTGTTACCCATTGTACACATGGACCATACACAGATTTGTACTTTTTTAAAGTCAGCCTTCTTTTTCACTCTTCTCTTGGCACCAAAGATGACTAAAATACATTTTCCCCTCTGCTTAATGAAAGGAGTATTCCATTGGCTCACCTGCTTCAAGTTAAACATATGTATATGCATCGGCAGGATAGGGAACTAATTGCCCTAGGACTGGGTTGCATGTAAAGCTTGAATTCTAGCAAAAAGATCTTGGTAACTTTGGGTCAGGCTGAGAAAGGGGTATTTGAATTCATGTATGCTTGTTCATGAAGGAGTTTTTATCCAGTCATCAGCTGTCACCTGAAACATTGTGAACCTTACCTCTGCTGTTCCGTCTTCCTTCTTTTGCATCTTTTTTCCCTTTCTTCTCTCCAAGGCAAGTAGAATTTTGTCACTAGCCAAATTGCTTTGAAGCTTACAAAATTTTGGCCAAAATTTAAACAGAAGAGCAAAAATACTCATCTGTGCAGAAAGAAAAGAAAGTCAATCTTGACTATATTAAGAAAACAGAGTTTACTGTAAAATAAAATGTAGTTTACCATGAGAATGAAATAACTATTTCTTTTTCAATACACAGCCTTGTTCCTCCCACGTACTGTGTCCTGACATTTCATCCCAGCTTTGCTCAGCACATGCTTTTCATCAGTGTGTTTATTACTGGTGAGAAATCTTCCTAAAACACAGTTAAAAGGCACTTTCTTTTTTTATATATTTCCCTAAACAATTGTTTGCATTAATGAAAACATCCATCATTTTTTACAAGTATTCTTGATAACATATACACCAGTGGAATTGCTTTTGCACCGCTGTACTGCTCAAGTATTTCAAATATTCAGTTCATTAGGAAGAGGGCTTTTTTCCCCCTCCTTAAGAGAAAGGAAATACTTTTTTGCCTCTGGAAAGGCTCTTAAACCACATTACAGATCTATGAGCAAATCTTGGATAATTTCTAAATGATATAATCTCTCACAGGGTCTTTTTTGAACTAGAATAAGAAAAACAATTTTGGAAAAGCAAACAGAGGGGCTCAGTGAATTCTGTTGCTGCACGTACTAAGGCTCACATTTTTCAATTTGTTTAGGTGTTTAATTCTCATTGAGAAACTGGGCTTCAAAGGAGCCAAACATGCTCAGTACCTTATTGCTTCTGGACTTGAAAGTGACATGTGAGTCCCTGTCATGTTCCTGTCACAGCTTTTTGGCCAAGTTCTTCCCTTGGTTTTGTGCCATGTTTCTGAACTTCACTGGGTTTTACACAGGCTGAAATGACACTTCCATTTCTCTTAGGATCTATATGTACTGTTTTCTCTGACAAACCGTTAATCTTTTGTGGTCCAAACACTTTATGAACTCACAGTTGGTGCTTAAAGGTGTTGGTGATGATTTTAAAGGAAAATAAGAACTAGCTTTCTTAGGTTTAGAAGATAGAACAGAGAAGACAGTAATGAGGAATAAGAAAATAGTAGGTCTGTAGTAAAGGTTCACAAATTCCTGTTCCGTCGTATTAGTATGAAGATCAGAGAGAAAAGTGTCTACAGTCATTTAATGCAGACTTTCTGTAATGAAGGGGAAGACATGCAGTAAGGGAAGCTGTCTTTTGCTTTACTCACATCTACATTTTTTTTTGTAAACTACAAAAACTACAAACTTTCTAATTACAAATTACTTTGCTTGACATTAACCAAGTGGTAAAGAGTGAGCAATTGAAAACATAGACATAATTGATTTCTACTGCCAGAATTCCTAACGCAGTCCTTGCCAGTTGTCCAAGATTGCCCAGTTTATTGAGCAGTAAATTTGAAGCCTTTCTATCATCTCCACTGTACAATCTTCATTGAAATGCATTACTATACTGTTCTCCTTCATGCCCAGGCTTGTGTATGGAATCCAAATCATCACACAAGCAACAAAGACCCTCCTTAAAATCAGACACACAGACTCTAGCCAGACCCGTTACAGAGATTCTCCCAGCTTCTTACCTGTGCCTCTCTAAAAATGTAAGGTCCTAGGTCTCTCCTGTGCTCCAAAATCTTCTTTGCTTGTTCCATTGGGATGTCAATCTGTAAAGCTGGGGGTATGGCAGAATTAATAAAGCAATCAATAATAGCAGTGATCTTTTTCTGGATTGTGGCATCATCACAGTGAGAATGGCACAAGTCCTGAAAGATGAAAAATAGCGTATTCAGGAGAGAGAGAGAGAGAGAGAGGAAAGACCCTTTCCAGGGGCCCAGTGATCAAAGAGCTATAGTCATACCAAAATAATTATACAGTAGATCCCTTCAGTATGTAGGACAAAATTCTTGTAGCAAATGTGCGTGGTCAAAGACATAGTTAAGACATGAGCGGGCCTTCTGGTTTGCAAATGTAGATAATAGCAATCTTTGCTTTTAGGTGATAATCTCTGCCTGCACATTCTAATGGAACAGAATAGTATGTATTTTGCATTCAGCTTAAGTACATTACTGCCAAATAGGAGGCATTTCTGAAAAGACAAACGCACCTACAGGTGTGAAATGCACTGATTCTCACAATGAGCCTGCTGTGACGAGCATACCAATGGTAACTAAAAGACAAAGACATGCTCTAAACTACCAGTACAATCTTCCATTCATTGAAATCTTCTAGTTTCACCATTCATTAAGATTTTCTATTTCCCAAAACCTCAGTGTTTGAAAAAACTCTGTGCAGAACAGAAAATAAAATAAACCTGAACTTACAAGGGTGAGATGTCAAAGGAACACTGGAGGCTTCCTACTTTTTTCAATGTGATCCTATTGTTCTTGTAAAACCTGTTATTACTGTGTCTTCACACTCTGACAATGCTACCATTGGACTTTGACAAGAAGAAAAAATAATTCAAAGAACATCCTTCAAATGCTTTGAAACACGAACTTTCCATCTATCCATAAAACCCAAGAAATTTCTATAACATTAGGAGATCATCTCAGATGTCTACTAGAGACACAATGAGCCCTCTAGAGAATTTTCAGGAAGAGAGCTCTAAATGAAGAATACGCATTTAGTTTCGGTATAGGAGGCTGGATATTTACTTTACAAAGAAATTAAAAACAGGGCTTTTAACCAGAAATGTGGTATGCGAAAGAGCTGGCTTGTATTATTATGAATACTTCTTAGTTTTGTGAAGGAAAAGAAGAATGATAACAGCTACAATGAAGAAAGTAAGGCAATACAAAAACATATTCGATGTAAGAATATATTATGGCTTCCTTTGCTCATCTAACATAGAAGAAAAGGCAAAGAGCTGTAGTAAGAGGGAAGACAAACAAGCCATATGATATGAAGAGGGATGAGACATGAGCACAGAGGAGCAGATGGAAGTGATCCACAGAGTTATATTTTTTCATATTTGTTTTAAAAAATAAAAATGTTTTTTGATTGTCCCAAGATGTGCCGCCAGCCTGATGGGTTACAGGGAGCAATGCAGTCATTGACTCCTAGAGGGAGTTCTGTCTAAATTGATGGCATGATAGAGCTCAGACAATACAAGTATGCACTGTGCAAAGTGCTGCCCACGTCTTTGGCAATATGCCTCCAGTTCAGCCTGACCCACAGCACTCCTACTACTCCAGCTCTTTGCTTCTATAAAGAGCATCAACTGTCTACCACGAGGAATCACATGCATGTAGAAATATGGTCAGATTGCATGGTCAGATTGTACTTTTTCTTGATAAGACAAGTAAAATTAACAAATGACAGAGGGGAGGGGGGGTGTGCAAAAAACAATGAAGCCTTTCTTCAGAGAGCAGATCCACATAGAAAACAGTCTAAACTACACTCCACATGTCCTGACAATGTAGCAATGAAGAGTCACAAATCTGAGAAGGGTTTATGCCATGGAACTTCAGCTGCCTTCATGTCAAGCTTCTAGTCTAAGCTAGTCACTCCATAAAAATGAGAGAGAGAGCAGCACCCCCAGAGAGCGTTTCAGCCAATAATTCCTTGCTTGGGGATCAGAGCCTCTGTGAGGAGAGGAGATTGCCCCTGAAAACAGAGGAGCTTCAGCTTCTTAAGCAGACCCCAAACTCAAATGTGTAAAATTAAACAATGAAATTACCCCCATATGCCTACAGCAGGATCCAAGTGCTACTGCAGCATCAGCTGTGCTTACCTCTTAATTTCTGAGCATGTTTTATAACCTTATGCTCTCTGCATGCCATGTGCACACAGCCTATGGTTAAGAACTCAAGAAAGGCTCTGGACTCTGGTAGCACTTTTGCATCAGCAATATGTCAGAAGCAAAAGGAATGAGGAACAAGTGAAAAGTCCTTGGTGCCCCTGCGTTCAGTCCAGAGTGATGCTAGGAGTCTGCAGTGTGACTTTAAAGCTCACTCCAGAGGTTTCCCATTGTGCTTCACCCCACAGAGCATCAATTTCATAAAGGGGCATGTGTTTGGGAGAGAGGAAATACTTCCTGACCTTCCTCGTCACATTTCATCTTGGCCACATCCTCAGCTGCAGTCAAATGTGACTGTACAAAATGCAAGGGAGCTGGGGTCTGCATTGTACATATAGGCTTTTTGTGTAGATACTGTCTTTACATCTGTACATTTCATTGAATTTAAAAGTTTTATCTGATTTTTAGTGATTGCTGGATACAGAAACAATCCCATTATTTAACAGCATGCAACTACAAAGACAGAATGAACATTTTAATGCTTGCACATTTTCCACTGCTCAGCAGATGTATTCCAAAGTCTGGGCATCAGCTAGTTAGTAGTGTCCCTTTAGAGACTCAGAAGAATATTACAGTTTGACAAACATAAAGAAATATAGGAATAATACATTCAAGCAATTTAAAATACCTGCCCTTAAGAAGTGAGAATTTTCATAGAAGAAAAAAGTTTAAACAGTGAAAGAGTTTTTATGATGCACAAGAAAATGCCTAGAGATATTCTCGTTAAAATTCTCCTAATATGCAGTATTGGATGTATTTGCTTACACATTGAATGATACTCCCCCTGCTCCATTTTGCCACTGTACCTTATATTTCTGAACCTCTTGCCAAAAGAGCACTCCATTCTCCAGTAGGTCTCCTTGCAGTGACACAAAGCGTTGAAACTCATTGGCTGTTACTGGATTCAACAGTGCTTTGCGGAAAGCAATTACTTCACTAGATGAAGAAACACACTTATTGTTCGCATGCTGTCAAAAGAAGAAATAAATGCACCAAATAAACTTTGTTTCAAAAAGCAATAACAAAGGCAATAGTTATCATGAACTGTCTGATTCGTATCTTTGCACTGACCCTAGCTTTCAGTAGTTTGTGAGTTTACGGCATGGATAGAATAGAATGTGGCAAGGTTTCATTTCTTTCTTTCCTTCTTTTTTCTTTTTTTTGAGTTCAGTTTGGGCAGCATTTTTTGGAAGACGTGATGGGAGAGGAAATGACTGACAATGATTTAGACCATATGACTACATACTATAAAGTATGGAAACAGCTATTGTTATTGATTATGGCAACAGGCTACTTTTCTAGAGAACAGTTTGAGTTTTGTGCAAACAACCAACAAAGAAAAAGGAACAGACAAACCACATAGCTTAAAGTTGTAAAATGCTTCTGACAGGGATCTCACCAACAAAATGAGCTTTGAAATGTGTTGCCATGATCACCAACAGAAGCTGGAGTGTTTGCTCTCTGTAGAATAAAGCTACCAATAGTAAAACAGAATTTAAAGTCATCAAGACATTTCAAAGTCATCAAGACATGCTGCAAAGCACAGAGTGGTAGGCAGGCAGGAAAGGGTGGAGAAAGAAAGATGGCTTATGCAGAGACAGTTTGTTTGAAATGAGTTCAGGCTGGCCTGCCTTCCTGAACAAACAGTTCTTGTGTTGTCACTGAGAAGCAAGCCAAACAACCCATTTTTGTTATCAGATGGATGAATGAAAACTATCTTCTAACAGTGGTATAAGACTCTTGAAGTCCTGGAGGGATGGAGTGCTGTTCAATGGTCAGCATAGGACAAAGTCGTTTTCAGTTCTTGCAGACGGTCCTGGAAATCTAACCTGACTCTAACCTGAAGGTCTTTCTGCAGCTTCTCTTAAGAGGGGTTATACTTTGTGTTCTGCCACAGACTCTGCCAGGGGTAAGAGCCTACCCTTATGAGAAGGTGAGTACTGGTTATCTAAAAGGTCCTTTGGGTAAAATAAAGTCAGCTCAAATTAGACAGTAAAGGTGGGATCGTCTCACCCCTCTTCCAATTCTCCAATAATGTTCTATCCCTCTGACTAGGATTTAGGCAAATTTTTGGAAAAAGTATTTCTGAGGCATGTGCATGAAGGGAAGAACAAAACATTACTCCCATCCCTGTGCTAATATATGAACACTGCTTATTTTATGGGTCAACCTTGAAGCAGAACAGGGAAAACAACCATCGTTCTGACAAACAGACAAAGGGAAAACTCAGTTAACAGAACCCACATGCACTTTGGATCCCTTTTGAGCTCATGATTTGCATGAATAATTGCTGACTGGGTCTCCAGTTTGATTTCAACAGACAATAAAAGTTCAACTGAACAAATGTACACAACTTGTGTGTTGGCAATCACAAAGAGTTCACTGCTCTTCAAGAGGAAAAAACTGGCAAACATCTGATGAAATGTATTATTACAAAGGTTTAAGATGTTTAAAATTGATATTATCTCAGTGCTGTAAGATTAAAATACAATTCTGAATGAAACAGATACTGTGAGATATGATTAAACCTGCCCACTCCACTGCATACTTCACATTCCCTTTTGTGTCTGCACATAATCCACTCACAATAATAAATAAACTACCAGATGCTGGAATGAACAGCTTGTCCCAATAAGTCCATTGCATGCAAAATACAGATAAATGTGAATTAAAGGTACAATATCGGTTTGAGGAGGGTTAGTGCTCCAAAGCCTGGGACAAGAGACATGGGGTTTTTTTCAAGTATGACCTCTCCAGCCAGGAAGGGAGAGAAATTTACCATGAACACCCAGCAGGGAGCTATATTAAACAGTGATGTGAGTAATCAGTCCACTGCAGCCAATACAATCATGCCTGCTTTCAACAGCATTACATTTGGGCCACACACTGTCAGCAGGGAAATTGTGAAGGATGTGCAAGGTCCAAATGAAAAAGACAGTGAAACTGCAGACACAAGAGAGAGGAAACTTCACTTACCTTCCACAGTCTAGTTGTCTTCTGTTTTTGTCGTGAAGTATCTTCAATTATGTCCCTTATCTATGGTTGAGCAGAAGATTATAATTGGGTTTTTAACTCTTCTTGTTTCATGTTTAGCCCAGTAATGATTATAGCTGATACATCTTCATATGGATGTTTATTTCTGAATCTTGTTGTGGACCCACACTGAATGCCATCCCTCATTCAGCTATAAATGAGCACATGCTTATCAAGACAGGGGAGTTAAAGAAGACAACAGGCAATAGCAGTCAGACTGCACTCTTCCACTGGTTTACCTTATCCATAGTGCTCTGAGGGATCAATTATATAAGGAACAAATTTGGGATTTTTCTTTTTTTTTTGGTATGAAATTGTTTTGGTTCTTTTCAACAGCTGTATCAGAAATACAGACTCAACTCCACAGCTTCTTTATAGGAAAAATACACCTCAAATCAAGGGCAGATTTTCTGATTAAGGACTACATAGCATGCCCAGAGTGTTTGGTCACTGTGAAATATGAAGCCAATTGGAGAATGTCATCTGGTTTCATTTCTTCTAAAACACTTTCTTCAAAGGACCTTTTCATCCTCTGAATTTGCAATAAGAAAGAGAAAAGAGCAGTCAGACATAAATGGAGTTAGAAAGACTAAAAGCTCATTAGAAGTATGTATTTCCTGTAAACTGTTGAATACAGCATCTTCTGAACTGCTTGAGCTATTCTCCATGCCAGTGCAGTGCAGCAGGTGCAAGAAGATGCATGAGCTAGCTTTCAGACCTGGAAGCAGCTCAGCCTTAGTGCATGGTCTTGTGCCACGGCTTAGAAAGGAGGAAGAGTTCAGCTAAAAAGGGCAGAGGGTTAGGAAATTTTACTCTAATTGACATATTCATTATTAAAATCACTGTCTTATCAGAACCTATACTTCTCAGATTGCTTAGTGCTCTGAATCAATGAAAGGGATACAGTTCATATGCACTTCTGACAACACTTCTGATAAAATTCTTGATATTAAAAAGAGGGTAGAAAACAAGTTTTATGAATCACTGCAGTGTGCATATGTGTCTGCTTGGTGGAACTGTCAAGTTTCCTTCTGATGTGACATTTGCATTTCAGAGCTGTTGTGGAAGTGCAAAAAGCCAAGTCTGTTTGCATCTGTCACCATCAGGATGATCTCCCTACATAGATCCCAGCCACATAGGCACACTCATAAACGGCAGATGTTAGCTCTGCCCATTCCCCAGTCCTTCTAATGAGCCAGCAGGAGTGAAAGGCTCTCATTCCCAATTTTCTGGCAACTTTCTGAAGTAACCAATTGGAACAAGGCTTGTAGCAGTTAACCTCCCCACTCAGCAGATTTCACAAGTCCTGGAGTCATTTCTACAGGCACCACAGCTCCAGATGGTAGAATACAGGCAGTGTAAAAGAGAGAGGGAGAGAGAGAATACAGCATAGGAAGCCCACTCATTTGCTTGTGTTCTCATCCCCTTGGGCAAATCCTTTATACAAAGCAGCATTTCTTATGTATGCAAGGGTATGGCTGGGGCAAAAAGACATATAGACAGTGAGGCACTACAGTAAAGGTTAGATTACTCTCCTGGCAGCCTGGCTGGCAGCAGAGCTAACACCAGGTCCTTCATATTTAGGATAAAACAATAATACTGTCAACTAGACTAAGCCTTCAGAGAAACTGCCTTCACAGTTATCAGGCTAAATGCTTCAACCTGTACATGCTACAGCGTCTCTTTAAATGTTAACTGAATGTGAGTTGTGACCTGCTTTTCCTCTGAACCATTTTATCCCAATTATGAGCCAAACAACAAGCAATGTCTGGATGTGTTGCTGTTCTTAAAAAATTACCTTTGCTTGTCCCTCCACCCGATGGTGTTCATCTGCCAGGAACAATGGCAGCCATTGTTTTTCTAATCTCTTCTGGATGCATTGCTGAATTTCTACCAGAACCGCTGCTGAAAGTTGATCCTGAAGGATTTGTCCCCATCCTCCACCTGAATGAATTAGCTAAGCAATCCAAATACAATAACACATGACATAAACTTCTGTGTATACCAAAAATCCTTTATCTCTCTACATCCTTGGTTTAGCAAAGCATGAGCTTAACTGTAAGCAAAGCATTTAATGCATGCTTACCCAAAGCTCACATGTACTTTTCATAAAAGGGAACAGATTACATTTGTCCCTACCTATAATAGAATACAGACTCTGGCAAATACTACCCCAGCTTGACCAAGTAAATTTCCTAAGTATCAAGACATATCAGAGTACCACAGCTCAGACTTGCTGTCTGTGGCTTTACTGACGTACTAAAATAGAAAGCTGGAACAAGTCACTCTGCCTGACAGACATTTTTACACTTTTTCTGAGCTTTGTTGTGCATGCTCTGGCTGCAGACACAGATCAGGATTTGAGATGTTCTGTAAGGTGAGGGGGAGGAAGAGCCTGAACAGGAAGGAAGGGACCCCCACAACCAGAACCAGATTTCTGGCCAAAAATATAGGTAAGATTTTAGGAGATAGCCTGGGTAAAATCTGGAGCAAAGCTGCTTATGAACTTTTATCTCAGTCAAATTCAGTGTGATTGTTTTTTATGAACAGTTTTGTAACTGGTACCTGTTCTTGTTGTTCTCTGGTAGCTGGGCTGTTGGGTCCAAAGAAGTATTGTTTGTTTAAGTACTTGGTTTTAATGTCTTTAGATTTTTCCTCCCTTTTTTCTTTATCCTTGTGGAGCATCTTTCTGAACTGTTCAATATCTAGCCAGCACATGAGATCCATGCTACAAACAAATTTAAACAGAATGTCTTTTCAATATTGAGTTAATTTCATCAACATTCTACAGAGTTATCAGTTTAACCACAAGCCACCAAAGTGTTCAAGTCCTAAATACCAGGTCAGATTAGACTGAAATTTTATGTCATTTTTTCTTTGCTAGTACCATCTGGTGAGACCATAGCACTTGCTGAACAGGCAGATCAAACACATCTTTGGGATCTCATTTAGGATCCCTTTTGGAGTACCCTGAATGGAGTAACCTCCACAGTGTGTTGCTGCTAAATCCAGTGGGGACTGTGAACCAGAGCCATAGTGCAGAGCTCACAGAGAGAATGAAAAATGAAACATGAGAATTTGAAGCAGTACTGAGGCTGTGAGCCACCAAGAGATGAATTGACACCTCCTGTTCTGCGTCCTTGTCGTGTTGCCTGAGAAAGAAGCAGGGATAACATCTGGAAACGTCAGCCCCAGAAATCACCCCCTTCCTACCCTGTGTGAAGTGCTAGAGCTTAAGTCAGTCTGCAGTCACCCAGACAAAACCAATTTATGGCAGATTTTGTTTCTATGGCTTTGTGTGGGCTGCCTGTCCATAAATCATCGATTCTACTACTTATTTCAATATTCATAGTAAATTATAATTAATCACCATATGCAATTCTTGAATCTATATATTGTTCATAACTGATTGTGTGTAAAGTATTAATTTAGGTTTGTTTTAATGGAGCATATATTGGTTTTGTTGTTTAAACCAGAGGACAGAATAAGTGACATACCTACAGTTTCAGTTTAATTTATAGGACTGTTTTCTAATAGTATCTTATTAGCTGAAGTTTTGTGAGCATTTTAATGAGGACATTCACTGTATTTGCAGCAGGAAATATGAAACATTAAATTCAGACAAATCTGTTTCACTTTTCCAGTCAGTTAGTACCTGGCTTTTTCAAAACTTTGATCTAAAAGTAAAATTTTCAAAAGCGTCTAACTGATTTAAGAACAGATGTCCACTTCCAGAAGTATTTTGAGACCTGTGTTCTACTGAGACTAAGATTCTTTCATTTGCTAGTTCATCACGACGTAAGTTCACCTAAATGCAAGTGATCCAAGTTACTGTGGTTTATGGAGTTACTCCTTGGCATCTACCAATGACAAACAACCAAATATGTCCATCTTATTTAAAAAGCAAATTCTATAATCTTAAAGTGTGTTAGGTTAAACTGTTTATAGTGGTGGCTTGTCCTACCGTACTCTACTTTTTCCTTTCAACAGATCAGAAGCATGTGCATAGTCAGTTAGTCTGGCAAGAGTAACAAGTGATAACCCACTAACCCAAAGCAGTGCAAACTGTTTTGCAATTGTGTGAATATGTCCTATATATTTAAGAAAATATTAATTGATGGAACTCCTTTTAGTTTATTACTAGAATTTGTGCTCAGGTTCAACTCAGTCTGTCCTTCCTGAAACTCGGATCACATAACTATAAATTTTCATTAAGAAGCAAATGACGTATTCGTGGTTTTTGCTGAAATTTTCTAGACTGCATTAATTCTAGGATCCCTTCAAGCTTATAGTACCATTAAGTATCTTTACTGTAGCATGCTAGCTGGAATTTAGAGTTCCTAGGTCTGGACCCAGCTCTGAAACACTGTTTTGTGAGACTTTTTCAAATTCTTAGTTCATTATGAATTTTTTACAAAAGAAAATTTCTCCATAAATTACATATTTCTCTGCCTGGCTCTATGACATAAGATGAGACTTGTCTGTGATTAACAGAGAGGCAGGAAGTCCCAAGGGTCATTCAGTGTACCTGTTCAAGACCTCATCTTAGCCAGTGACCTGTTATCTGGTGATTCCTGCCATTTCCCCAGTTAGAGACGAACTCTAGACCAGTGGTCTCCAAAGTAGGGTGTGCAAAGAGATGGTTCACTGGGGAGCAGTAAGAAAATATTAGGACTTCAGTAGCACATATATATAATTTATAAAAATTAAATATACATGTATCAAGGGTGCATGCTTACAAATCTTTCTCTGATGGGGTGCGCAATCAAAAATGTTTGGAGACCACTGGTCTAGACAGCTAACTCAGAAGTCACTTGACCATAGGGACCTGCAGAAGTGATGACACTGACTCTTGGCCAGAGGAATCCTGTGCTAGACATCTATCTCTGGACACTTTCGGAAAAGCTGACCAATACCTGATCTAAAATGATAGCAGTGCTTGACTAGAAACAAGAGGCAATATGCAAAGAATCAGTTTATGGGAACCCAGGTTAAAGGAAGTGACAACTTAAGGACTTGCTAGCAGTTACTTAAAAAGTATATTTGCCTTTTCCTAAAACAGGATAGAGATCGGTGTGAGGCTTGGGGAAAAAGAGGGAGAGAGAAAGTGGCAGAGTCACATTTACTTCTGCTAGAACTAGAACTTCTGTTTAGATGTTCATTTTTAAACAAATGGGCTCACTTTTTCAAAAACCCTGCATAAACTGTATCTGCTGTGAACTGGTCCTTAATTCTGTTTAGATCAGTGCAAACACAAAACTGCAGTTGTTCTCACACTGTAAGAATAATGTGGCTGTCTTCTATTTGTACATTTTTATAATATCCAGCTTTAATTTTTAAAATGTACAAAATTGAATCTGTACTAAAAGAGAGACATTTTTACTCATTATAGGCTAGTTGCTCTACTCAGGGGTTTGCCACTAATCAAAGCAGAAACTGAAAGCAGAACTGTAATACAAACATGTTATGTAAGGAGAATATTTACCCCCAAAATGTTAAGGCAATTCAGTTGTCTGAACAATGTGCATGTGTATTTCATAAATATACAAACACATTTTAAAAAAGACTAAAATCTGTGAACATTTAGATAGCCAAGATCCCCAGCAAAGATTTCTTTGAACTTAGAAATGGATAAAATAATAATAACAAAGAAACATACCCAGCAGAATGCTCATTAAGAAAAGCCCAGAACTGTTCTAACTTCTCCTTGTCATGGATGAGGTCAGATAGATTAGAACCTGTCAATTCTCTGGGAACTTGGTGCAAGTGCTCATCTTCTTTTAGAGCATCAGGGCAAGATGGCAGACAAGTGTCAGGAGCAGTACTCTGAGGGAAGAAATTATTTCACTTGCATAACTGCTTTTTTCATCTCTATGTTTTGCTCAGTCTCATAATCCTTGCATTAGATAACTTCTGTCTCTGTAGGACAGCTTTTGATTGCTGAGAAAATAAATTAAGACTCCAGCTCTTAATCAGCTTTAGTTTTATGTTTGCTTTAAACATACCAGGTTACCTAATCAAATAAACCAATATATACCTGTAATTTACTTGAAATTTAGGTATTTACTCAAGATTAAGGGCCCAAAATACATTCCACAGACTTTAGTGGAAACTCTTTCATTGCCTCCAATCATACAGTGGTCTGATGCTGACGTTACTGACAGAGGATCTATATTTGTAATTAACACAATGGCTGTCAATCTTTCCCCAGAATTAATGGTAGAAATCAGACTACTAGCTTTTCCAAATTGGCATGTAGTCAGTCTTTCATTGCTGATACTCAACCCTCTCTGATTGATAGAAAAATGAGTTTGTTTTTGTTATTAGGTGCTTGTCTTACCTCATCCTTCTTGGAACCACTCTCCTGATGCAAAGCCTGGAGCTTTCTAAAGTACACGGAGTCCAGCTGTCGAGTTTCCTCCACCAGCTCCACCTAATAAAAATAATATCTTATGTCATCCCTACAGTACACATTATAGAAAGATGGAGAGAACCGAGTGGGCACCTTGCCAGTGACAGAGGATAGAAAAGAATCCATTTGCCAGTAATGAGACTGATGTTTAGAAGATACTAGAAGTCACACCTTTGTGGCAAACAATTCAATTAAAAACTCTAGTAGAACAAAATCTTCATATCTGTGTAGGATCACACGTAGATTTCTGCAGAACACCACTAAATAACTATATCTTTTTAAAAAGAGCTTTGTATTAAAAAAAATTGGTAAATTATATTGTGCATATAACCTATTGTGTATATTGTGTGTATACTCTATCGTGTATATTGTGTCAGATGTACCTGATTGCTTATAACAGTAAATTTTATATCAAAGTGCCACTGCGAAGCAGAAAAACAGCTTTTAAAACTGTGACTCTCAGTGGGAAATGTCAAAAACAGTGGCACAGATTTCCAGATATGGAAATTTAAGATAAGAAAGATGCTATAATGTCTAAATGTCAAAGGTGGAAACTTTCAGACTTTCTTGTCTCCTTCTTAGTTTTATACCAGGTAATGCCTTAAAATAATAAGTTGTCCATGATTAGAACTCATGAAGTACTGGTGTTCTTTAATTTAATTAGAAGCTTCATGTATATAACTAGAGCAGTTCTCCATGTTACATGCAAACAATCAGTAACTGCGTAAGGAATAGTCTGATGACTGTCTCGGCTGACTAAGCCATTCAAATGCAGGTTTTAGGATATTTAGCAGAATTAAGCCAACGTGTTATACTGATTAGCACGCCCACTACAAAGATTAGAAAGCTGTGGTCTTATTATACAAGCATTTATGCACAAGAGAGAGAATGCCAATTTTAGATTAATATTCATTATGCTTTTGTCTACATGTGAACACCACACTAATCACTGTGTTATCTGAATGCCTTCAGGCTCCAAGTAATTCTATTCCACTGTTATAAAGTGCTTTTGGGTATTCTTTCCTTTAAAAGAAAATGTAGTTTAAAAGTAAATAGGAAAATAATCCGGAACATTTTTTATATAATTTAAACAGAAAGCAGATAGAGGCAGGATGGCAGTCAATAAAAAGGAACCCTCCTGCTTTCATGTTTCATTTAAAGATAAAAATGTAGATACATACTGACTATGTCCCAAATAAACAATTTTGGACTCACCTAATTCTTGTTAAAATATCTTGTTTCATTATGGGCCAAATACATCCTGCTGTATGGTAGAACAAAGGGGAAGAGTAGAGCCGGGGACTGAACAAAATATAAAGCAGACCTTGTCTTAGTGCTGAGGAGTGTGTGTCTAAGCATCAGCCTGTCTTTAGTACAAAGAGACTCTAGTGCCTCCTAGAACAGGTTGTGTTATATCTGTGTATTATAACTCTTCACAAACACATGTACTGTGCACTCGAAAGTATTTAGTTCTGTTTTTTCATGCTCTGATTAAGATGTTTGTGTTATTAGGGCACTGAGAAGTCTGCACGTAACTGCACTTGCAAAGCAAAGCAGCATCTAAACTGAAAGGGCAATAGACTATCCCTCAGTTAACTCACGGAGGTATAAACTGACACACATACTAATTTAAAGCAAAAGTTTATATTTTCAGCTGTTACTTTGGAGTATTTCTTCAATCATAGAAGCAGTAGAAAATACTGTACTTGGAGAGTGCTCAAAAGCAGAGTCTTTTTTGTACAAAAATGATGTATAATAATACTTGGCTGAGTCCATGACCTGACTCAGTGAGGACTGGCAATAAATATTAGACAACTAGTTCTGATAATACACATGGAAAATACACATTTACAAAAGACTGTAAAACTAGTCTGATAGAAAGTAACCAAAACTTCATATTAATAAAAGCATCAATCAATTACATGGTGTTCTGCAGTTCATTAACAATTATAGCTGAAATAGCTTAGTCAAAATAATTTATCTGAAAGCTGAGAAAAGATGCTGAAAAGTGAAGAGAATATTTTGCAGATATATTTGGATTAGTATATTTCATTTTGATAAGGTTTTTTCAGTGTTCAAACTTTCAACGTTTCTGAAGGAGATGAAGTTATCACAGGATGAGAAGGAAAGTCCCTTTGTGGATTAATTATAAGGTACAAAGTACAAAATAAAGAAATAAATAACTCTCATTATGGGGTGGGGTTCCTATTAGAGTCTCACAGGGATCTGCTCTGAGGTTGTTTTCGTTAAACATTCAGAAATTATCTGGAAAAGGAGGTGAGTGAGGAGACAACAAAGTTTGCAAAATTATTCCACAGGGCAAAAATATTATATTGACTTTGAAGAGCAGCAGGATTTCAGGACACTTCAGTGTCTGCATGATAAAAGGGCAGCTGAATTCAAGGACAACAAACATTAAGTCATTCCAATAAGCTCCAAATTGGGCTTTCCATTAGTTGTTCTCACTTTGTAAAGAGATCTTGGAATCATTGCAGATGGCTGTTAGTTTACATATTGCACATCCCCTCAAAGTTCACCAGGAATCAAAAGGCAGTTAGTATCATAGGAACAATTAGGAAAGGAACAAAGATCAAAACAGAAAACATGATTCTGCCACTGAATAACCCTTAGTGCATCCAGGCCTTGAGTACTGCTTGCATCTCATCACAAAGATATGAATTAATAGCTGGGGGTGATAAATGTAACAAAGATATGGAATGCCTTCTGTGAGAGGAGAGGTCAAGTAGTCCAGGATTCTTGAGTTTCAAAGAGATGTAACTGAAGTGGAATTAAACAGAAACATGTAAAAGCATAGCAACATTAAGAATATGACAAGATAGCAATTGTTCCCTCTTCCTTGTGAAATAGGAAACTAGGGCACCAGGTGAAATTATCATGGAGAGGTCTGCAAGCAAACCAATATACGCATTTTTTCTCCTATTGTATGATTAAACCACAAAACCCATTAATGCACTGAAGCTAAAGATATAAAATGACTCAAGACACATTTACATAAACCCATGGGGGAAAAAAACCCAACCTACTCATCAAAGACTATTAGACACAAAAATGTGGGTAAATTCTCTGCTTCATTAATCTCCTCAGTTGCAAAGTGCTGAAGCTGGCAATACTGCCATATGTTTTTTTTCTGTTCTTATACTATATTCTTAAATGTTTAATATTGGCCACCATTTATAGGCTTAAAAGATCATTGTCAAGTTTGATGTTGGGAATCTGTTCTCCTGATTGTTCATAAATGCATGCACAACATAATAACAAAAATACAATGTGGTACAAAACTGCCACAAAAGGAATTCAAAATTTTTAGAGGAGGCAATGCATGTATGCATGTTCTCATTACATGCTGACAGAAGTATCAGCAGTAAGTGATGATATTTCCTGTAAAAATGGAGATGCTTCGTCTAAGGTCATAGTAGAGAAAAACAGGAACAAGAACTAACTTCCTGCCCTCTACCTCCTGATTTCCCATTTTAAGTTTCTCCCTCTGTACCCAAGAGAGAGATCTTAAAGACTTGGAATTAGAAGTTTGACCTGCAGCTGGTAACTTGTAGGTAAGTTTATAAACTGCAGAGAGCCACAGCATCCACCACTGCCTCCAACATTTCTGATTTGTCAAAAGCAGAGTCAGGATTGCAGCCATTTCCTCTGACCTGCATGAGCCTGCTCAATTCAAGCCTTCAGAGGCTTTCTGGAATTAGAACTGAGTAGATCACCAAGCCACCTGCTTCAGGAAGCCTGCAGGGCACAGTCAGACCTTACACAGCAGGGCAGCTATCTAAAAGGTGTTTGGGAAAAATACAGCTGGATCACCATATCACATTTCCTCTTATGCTAAGCAGTAGCTGCACTTTAATTCCTAACACCAGGAAATACTTTATAGAATTATTATGGACCTAGCATCACTGTACTAACACTCTAGAAACACAGCTTATTTTTATTTGATCAATGGTAAGATTGCAGAAACATGACACTTCCTGAGTGCAAAGAGAAATTTTGCCATAGTAAGTTACATTCCTCCTTGCTTGCACCTTCCTCCCAGATGGGAAGTCTGCTCTCCGCAGGAAGCTCAGCCTACTCCACTCATCAGTATAGAAAGGAGTGGGTGAGCAAAACACCACATAATACTTCTCCCTTCCTGACTAGAATTGTAACAGAGTTGTATATGAAGGCTCTCGTGATTTTCTTCTCTGTCACAAGAATTTTTCACTGTGTCATCCAGATGAGTTACCTTTCCATAAGTATGTTTGTCTTCTTCCATCATCTTCATCCATGGTTCTATCAGAACAGTGAGGATATATTCTTCTGCTGAGTCAAAAAGATCCTCAAAAGCTGGGTCAATTTTCTGATAAATCATGTTTCTCTTCCTCTGATGAAGTCCAATATCCATACTGGCAGATGGGGCAATGTAAGTTGCATAAAGGAACTACAATAAATCAGAAGAAAACTGATTCTAAGCCATCATCTATTCCAGTGGTCATAGTCCATTGAAGGAGAGAATGAATGCATATCTGTCCCACACTGCCCTGCTGTATATTCTAAACATAATTCTAGTTACACGTGCCTTGTTTTCATCAATATTACAATTTTGCCCAAAAATCAGTTATTGCCATAACTGACCTCCCTGCCATTTTTACTCGTTAAAATGGTTAGACCACAAATTAATACTTAATGCAATTTTTATTTGGAAATATTTGACTGGTTCTTAGTTAGATTCAGGAACCACAATCGTTTCAGCAACTGCATTCTTCATGAAGTTGTATTGTCATTTTGCAGAGTATGTGCTGGGCCACTTTATGAAGGAGTCTTACTTCTTCTGAATGGATGGGAATTTGTAAATCTAAGGTTAAAATTAGTGGAAGAGTGATATAATTCTGTGTGGAGATTCTCATGCACAGTTCTTCGACATCAGTGAGACTATCACGGTACAGGATCCATAGCAGGAGATATCACCGCACAACTAAGGTCTAAATCCTTAGCAAAGCAGGGATTATAATATGCTTGTTTATGAAGCACACAGAGTTTGCTATTCAATATGTACAAACAGAAGAAAGCTGAACCTGGAGAATGTTTCATTCTCTCTATCAGCTCATTCTTGAAGCACAGAGTAATTTATTTATTTATTTGTTTGTTTATTTATTTTCAAAATATTCTCCTAAGTCAAATTCTTGGTTTTTAAATGTTTCATAAATTACTATAAAAAAGAACATTGAAAACTCAATGAAAAAAACACTTTCTTCCAGGAATATCTTGGAAGAAGATATTCTAGAACATCTTTCTAATACATTATGATTCTGACTGCAACTAGAAACACAAGTGAAAAAAGATGCTGTCATAGTAGATTTCATGCACTTATAAATGTTTTCTCTTCTTCGTATTTTCAAAGTCAAACTAATTTTCAAACATATGTTCAGGGAATCAGATTAGTAGTATAATAAAATTTCTCTCTAGGATGGCCCTGACGAGCCCACCTTCACTATTTATTATCACACAGTTTTGGCAATGAAGAATGTGGGTTTCTAATAATTCTTATTTTCCTTACATTGCTAAAATCTAGCTGTAACTAACAAAAGTACAAAGCAGTAGAAAAGAAGAAAATAATACATTTACTCTGTGTTCAGCAGCAATAAAACACTGTTGTGTTTAAATTTCAAGCATAATCAGCGAATGTTTAATTACATTGAATAATTATGTTTCTGTTTGTTTTAAACAAAATTCTGATCTATTAGATTCTTTCTTTAAAACCACCAGACTACATCCCTGTTATCCTGCACCTTAACAACTTGAAACAGACCCTTTAGACTCTCCTGATACAAGGTCATTGAGGAATACATGGCTATGATGGCTGACATCGATCCCCCAGTTAGAATTTGTTATGATTACTACACTTCTTTATGTAGGATTCCACCCCCTGTCTACATAGATCTAATCACTGAAAACAAAGATGGTTTCTGGCTATTGTGACCCATGTTATCAGTGCAATAAGGACCTCCAGGTGTAAGGGTAAGGTGAAAGAATGAGGACACTCACAAGAAGAGCCCTAGCAAGATGAGAATAATACCACATTTATCCTAAATTATGCCCTTCTCAGCAAATCCACAAATAAATTTAAATTTAAGAGAGACAGCATTAATCAGATTCAGTTAGTGAAATCAGAAAGTTGGAATATGTTGAAGAACTCTAACACTAGGAAAGTTTCACTTACATCATATTCTACTCTGATCCAAAACATTTAACATATAAAACAGCCAAATTAGAAGAGACTAGTCCAATGATACCAAGACATAGTATCTTCAAAAATAGAGGGGTTAACTATTTTATTCATCATTAGGGCTACATTGGTCCGCCTCTTATGAGTCATAAAACCACACAAGAGATTTGTAAATTGGTGAAAAGGGTCCAAAATAGGTCCTTAATATTTTAACCTAGTTCCTTAAATGGCTGATCATTTTTAGCATAGTTTAAAGAATAAAATTAAAACAAACACTACACAAGTTTCTTGAATGAAACTCTTCTTTTCCCTGTGATTTTGTACAAAATGAATTAACTTGAGTATATTTGCTACTTTTCTTCAGAGCCGACAAAAACTTTCAGCCTACAGAGTCAGAAATTGCCCAGACTGAGAAAGCTCTGGTCAAAAATTGTTGACAATCTGCTCATACAAACACTGTCATAATATATTGCGATATTAGGGTCTGCCTTTGCAGGCTGCTCTACCTGCAGAACTCCTCCTCCCACCCAGTCCTGTATTATTTCACACACAAAACCGGAGCATGGTAAATATACACATTTTTTTCCCAGAAACAACAGTTAGGGCTGATAATACATGTGAAGCAGAGATTTAGAGGTGGTTAGGCTAGCTATAGGAGTCCACTTTTCCAAATGTAATGGACCAGACCCTCAGTGCTGTAATCAGGATGGCCTCTTCACTTCTGAAGGATTCAGATTAACAGTGTCTGAGGATTTGGCATGATGCCACCTTTTTCTTAAATTCTGGTAAGAATCCATTGCTATGGGATTTAGCCCACCAAGTAAAAAGATAACATCACAAGGTGACAAAGTGAATGCAGACAGGGGAGAAAAGAGAAGGAGCTTCCATCCCTGTGTCCCTTGCTGAGGGTTCAGGTGCATCTGTAGATCTAGATTTGAATGCAACTGAGACTAAGTTCTAGACATGGCAAAATAGAGGAAAAGTGACTATATTCACAGCCTTTAGCACTGGGAAATGAACTTAGCAAGGTATAGGGGGAAAATACATTTTATGCTTTAAAAAAGAATATTCATAGCCTTTTTTGACTCCCATGTCATGGAAGTCTTGTGGGTTTCTGAATCTCAGTGAACTACTGAAACTGTGGTATTGGCCAATCTCCTAAAGCATCAATGGGAAAAAATGACATTAAATGAACCTAACGGTTATCGAATTAACACAAAAATCTTGAGCATGTGACATCAAGTGCACATCATACTTCATTTATTCAATGTTTTGTTCCTTTTGTAACACATAAAGAATTTTCCTACCTGCCAGCTATACATTTTCCTATAATTGTATTAGGATAAGTAATGGATTAAACCCAAAACCCTATCTGGAAATTTGGTCAGAGTTTGCATCTTGATATTACTTATAATGGCACAAATCTGAAGATACAGAATGCTTAAGAAATTCAGATTAATTCTTCAGCCTCATTTATGACTTTCCAGATCAGGACTTGTTTAGGCCTTGGGTTTTGGTGTGAATTCATCCCCGGATAAGAAGACTTTGGTAAACCATTGCAGAATGACTAGAGTGAAGCAGGAAACATAAAAATATAACTCAAGCGCCTCATATTGCTGCCCAAGACATGGATATTGCTCTGATCTAAAAGAGGGGCTTGTGCAGCTGCTTGACAGAATCATATGATGGAAGAATACAATGCACTGACTGGTCTAAAATGGAAAGGTTAAACTGCCTTCACCCCCATCATCACTTTCCACTAACATAAATCTTGTGTCTGACCCTAAAAGTTCACAGTAATGATAACTCCCTTTATCTAAATTGATTCTTGCGTTAAAATATTGTGCTTCCGATAACTGTATTAAATTTTCTAACTCTATTTTTATAATTTTTTTTTATTTTTTATTTTTATCAAAAACTACAATATCTGTTTCTTTGTTGCTTTTCTTTCTCAATTTATTTTACACTCCTGTGTGTGTGTTTATAGTGAATAACCATATATGTTTCTGGATGATTACCTGTACTCATTTTTATCCATCAGATTTCATTCTCACTGTAGTTTCTGTCCCTGGATGAATGCATATATACCTTGGAATGCATTTTCTTACTCTATCATAAAAATGCCTAACAAATGAAACAATGAGTAACAGATATACAGCAATCCGGGTTTGCTCTTGTTTCTAACAGGAAGCAGGCAGAACACATACAGAATACTTTGGATGTCTCTTTCTGTAATAAATACTAAAATGTACATGACGATGTGTTGTGTGAATCTGACCCACATTCTCTTAGGAGTATTTGGAATGACTATCTTATTGTGCCAAAGGTGAGCGCAGAATTTGGGAAGGCATCTCTTGGATAAGCAGACCCTGTAGATTGGTTGCAGCTTGATTCTTTACCATGTTCCAATGAAAACAAGAATTATTTTTGTGCAGCCTTAAAAGGCAAGCTAGAGAATGATACCGAATGTTGCAGCACATGTGTTGATTTGTTATGTTACATTTCAGCTGTTAGTTATGCTAATGGAACAGTTTCACATATTTTGTTTTGATGTATTTACTTTAATGGCTATGCGTATGGAGCTCTCTGTAATTGCCTGGTAACACTGATTGTATGATGTTCTGCTGTCACCACCAGGCCAGCACTGGAAATAAGTAAAAAAGACATGGGCCTTAATTTTCAGCCATGCAACCACTGCAGAAAGAATATGAGCTGGAGTGAAATGAAACCGAATTGAAAACCACCATGGGTGATTACCTAAGATTTGGCCTGCAACAAAACATGTAGGAAAATGAAGACAGTCCAGGTTTAGGTAACTTGTACACCTATTGTGAGCAGGGTCCCTGGCCACACACTGGCCTGGGCAGATAGGGGAGACAGTCAGCCTCAGGCCATAAGTAGAGCTGGAGGGGAAAACAACTAAATAGGGTAGCAGTTTAAGTTAGCCGGTGTGTGATAGGAGAGAGCCTTAGCCTCTGCTTGGTGTTTCTGTACAAATAACACTGATTCGGCTGATAATTCTGGACAAATACACAGAATAATGTCATTTGCTCCAGTAAAACCTCCATGTAGGAAAAGAAGACAAACTGAAGGAAGTCCAGATGCTCAGTAACATAAACCATATAAAGAGATTATTCTCCACTGCTCTTTACAGACACTAGTTTCAAAGACATGAAAGACATGTGAAGTAGCTTTGCTTATTACAGCATATATTGAAATATGCAGATACGATATACTCCTACACAAGGTTTGCAGAGGAGAAACAGACCAAAGTTTCACAAAGTGATTTTAAAAGTTGTGAGTTCTAATGATACAACACTGCTGCAGCCTTCTTCCCTGGCAGTGTCACACTATTCTGCAGTTGCTAACAGCATCAGCACGCATGGCCTGTGATGAACCTATTAACTTCTGGTTTATTCCCTGACTCACAGTGCATGCTCAATTAAGGGTGCTTGTTTATAGGAAATATCAGTTCCGCTTGACAGTGAGTGAGGGTCTAAAGATCAAATGGAGAGGATGATAACTGCAAAATGCCCTGACAACCAGAGAAAGAAAAACAGGACTGACCACTGAAAGATCCATTTTCATGACTAAGGTCATTATCTGAGGTCTGGACTGTGAGACCTGCAATTCTGACTCACACAGATCAAAGGAAAGGTACAGCACAATTAGATGATTTAGAAAAATATTATCTCTGATGTTAACACTAAGCAGATATTTTCCAAATATCCCACCGAGCAAAGGGGAGATTAGTGAAACTGAGTATAATAGATAAAACTGGGAATCGGCAGCAGAACCTAGAAATCAAACTATGCATGTTTAACATTTAAATCAAGAAATACCATGGAAACAATCCAAAGAGCTTCTTTTATTGTCCACAACCCAGATTTACTTTGGTGTGGGTTGTCAAGATCTGGAAATTTTTCTACTTTCTATCTTTTCAGTCTTTACACTGAAGAAATGTATTTTTGATGGGAATGAGCAAGCGTATTTGTGAAGACAAAACACATTGTTTACAACTTACTTGAGCTTGCTTGCAAATTTTGAAAGGATGAAGAGTTTCCTGGTAGAAAAGCTGATGATAAGCTTGTAGGTCAAACCAAAAGTACGCACTGTTCTTCCACAACTACAGATGAAAAATATTGTAAGTTATTGCTATCCAAATATCACAGCTTTATAAAAGGTTCACTTTCCAATGCAAGTAATTATTCAGCTCCTTGGGGTCACCACAAATCAAGCTCAATCTAAGATGGAGTTAATCTTCTGTTGCATATTGGCAGAAGGACAAGATATTTAATGGCATCATCATTCTGATATTTTATCTTTTATTGTATCCTTTATGCGTAATTGTCCATTAAAATTGTTAACATTGTAGTTAACATTTGAAAAGTAACCACATTTCAGTGGCATAAAGCCAGCACTAAAGAAGAAAAGCTGATAATGGACATGCAAAATTTGTGCCATGGTGAAATAGCATTTTGCAGCAATAACCAACACAATTAAATATTGTGTACTTGACATATGTTACTGGGACTATCGTTACATTTTTATTGCATACAATTCTGAGGCACAGTGTCTTGGCCTCATTTCATAAATTCAAACAAGCATCAAAAGTTATTTCAGGAGGAGGAGTCTTTCCTCAAGTCCTCTCTTTTAATCAAGTATTTATGGGGTTTGGATCTTAAAAATACCCTGAAACCCCTATCACTGGACAAGTGTTCCAAAAAGATAAGGTCAGGGAACTTTGTTCCACAAACTGCAGGCTGCCAGATCTGGCATATGGGTGAAATAGGCTCCACAGTCGTAGACAAACTTTAAGGAAATAATTTTCAAAGGAGTCTGGCACCTGCCAAGGCTAGAGGCCATGTGGGTAGGTGCTTATCTCCAGTGAAAAAATAAGTTACTTTTACTTAGATTTCTATCTATACACATTTGACAGTTTTAGATGAAGGTATTCAGCTTTGGAAACATTGGCTCTTGCCTTCTGGTAGCCAAAGGCATTTTTAGCTACTGCTGCTGCATTCCGGGTTGTGCCAGCAGTGAAACAGATGTCCATCTTGATTGCACTCAAATCTTCCCTAAAGACTCAATTTTTCTGCAAAGCCACTGAACACTGACTCAGATTCATAACTTGTTCCAACCAATCCTCAATTTACACCCAGCAATGAATGATGGATCTGCTGACTACAGAGAAGAAATAGTGTTATGTTTCCCAGAAATCCAAGAAGCTTCGTGGAAGCAGAAGAACGTTTTTAAAACATTGGAGATTTTGGACATCACTAACCCAACAAGTAAGAAGGAGGTATATTATCATGAGTAATAGCATAACAGATTTTCCATCTTTTTAAAAAATGTTTTTGTGGGTTAAGACCTCATTTTTTCTGCCAAGTTAAAGGCTAGTTTTTAAAAACGATTAGTCTTTTTTTATCCCTGATGGTACAATCAGATTTCCAATCGGTTTGAGACAGTTAGGATCTGACAGCTTGGTTAAGACCTGTCATTAGTTTGAATATACACATGAACAGTTTATTGTTGTTGAGGGATTGAAGTCTCACAAGTAATAATTCATCCAGTCATCAATCTTTCTTTCTCCATTTTTTTTTTTCAGTCTGGCTGCCCTCTATAACTTGGCATTCAGTCAATTGTAGACTAAATTATCACAGGGTAGGAAAATGCTCATACCTTATTCCCTGACTTCTCACAGAACTGTGTGAAGTAGTAGCCTGCTCTATTGTCCAAATAAAGAGACTGCAGCATGCTTTCCATTCCTGATCCCCTTAAGACAGCACTGCCAGCAGCACTTTTCCCCTGGATAAATAAAATACAGTTATACAGCAAGAAGTAACAGGCTTTCATTATTTTCAAATGTGAGTACATTGCAGTGGAGGGCCATGCAGTGTGTTCAATTAGTATTTTCACCCCATGAAACTAGACTCCATTTTCTACTACACATGCAGTCGATCATAGCTCTCCATACCTTTTCCCCACTAAATACTCACATCCAGTGGAATAAGTCTGATGACTGAGGCATGCAGAGTAGCAAAATGGCCATAGTATCCCTTAGGTGGATCTTCAATACTTGAAACAGAAAAGCAAACCCAGCCTTAATTCTGTCATTAACTCTTTAGTTATGAATCCAGGGAATTCTAATGATACTAGGCCATGTCACGTAGCTGTCAAAAGCAGACTCAGCTCAGGCTACCGTGTTTTGGATTAAGAGAAGTTAACAAGTGCTTATTTGGTCAAGCATCGAAACAATTAACTATCATGGAACAAAAGATATGTTTCCTGGGCTTACACACTGACATCAGCAACAAAATCATGAGCATTTACTGGGCAAGAAATCCATGCTCTTTAATCTGGCTAGCTCCTGAAGCATTTGAGGAAGGATATATCCTTTTTGACAATGCTCACAGTGAAGCTGGAGGAGGCTACAAAAGAGTAAGTTTCTGATGGTCACAAAAGAGAAACTTCAGCTGATTTGCTGTCTGATACCAGAAGTGGGAGCAGATGAGTGTGGTGGCTGACAACAAGCTTCTTTCCAAACAGTAACAGTGATGGGGAAGGGCAGGAGGAAGTCAGATTTCTGAAGCAGAGTAGGAAGATCCCCCTCCCCAGTATGAAGTTGAACTATGAATTCCTGCATTCCCCTTTGCATTATGGCAAATTGGGGTCTTGACTGCAGGTTCCAGTCTAGCCTTGTACATGTAAATGGATAGTATTTTCCTCTCTTAGCTAGAGGGAAACTTTGAATTGTGAAGTTGTATAAAAACTAATAGTTCATGGTGTGAATGTTTCCTGAATGTAAGTTTCTAACTGCAAATGTCCTCTAGTTGCAAAGACTAGCCTTTTCTTCTGTCAAAATTAACAAAGAAGTAAAATGGTTGCAGTGAAGTAATGAAGTATGATTTTGATGTAAAACCAATCAATCTTGTGCTCAAGTGATCAGCCAACTCCATGCACATGTAAAAAAGCCCAGATTTCATAATATGGTGGGCTGTTTTAGTTGTGAGGCCATGGGTATCAATATCTCAATGAAACAGCAGGCTGTTTCAAGACCATTCCACAAACATGAAAGGTTTTGGATATATTTTAAATTGCCAGATCTTGACATCTCACATGTTTGATTTGTCAACATTTTCACAGTTATTGAGAAGAGGCTCTTCTGTGCAGCCTGTGCCTCCTGAGGTTTGCTGGATTGAGGGCCTGCTTAGCAGGCAATAATTCAACAAAGAAGAGTGAATTACCTAAGCAACAAAGAGGAGTAGTACAAGTGAAGCATTTTTCCTTTTCTGAATTTTACTGTTTTAATGACTTTCTAGGGCAGATTCAGTTTTCAGTGTAAGTCTGGTATACTCTCCTAGGCAATGATTCTACTGAAGCATTTCTCCAGTAAGTTTTCAATAATAGTCTACTGAACACAAGGTCACCATGGAGAAGATCAACACTTTCTAGTGAAAATAAACCTCTATATATGCCATGATTTCCTATCAGATAGGTGAAAGATACTACACAGAAAATGCTGACATTCTAATTATACCTCTGCATAAGGTATTGACATTCATATAATCAAACCAATTTCTCATCATCATTGACTACTTTCCCTTTAATACTAGAGAATAAAATGTTTTAACCCATAATTCAAGACAACTAGTATTTTTAAATAGTACTTACTTGGAGCAGCTCAGCATAGGTGTACTTTCTATGACCCTGGGATTTTGAGTCTTTGGTGTCATCCAAAGCCGAGTAATGAATCATGTCTCTGTTGGCTGATTTTGGCCTGGATCCACAAACAAACAAAATTTTCAATACATACTTAAGAAAAAACTAGGACTGCTTATAAAATAAACAACTAAGGGGCATGGAAAGAGGTAGAATGACATAGTGAATAGTAGAGGAAAAAGTACATAGAGAGTTCAAACTTGTAATAAATGTAAAAAATGCAGAGGACTACTTTTTCATGTAGCCCTGTGGAAATCACTGACACAGTATGTCTTTGAGGGCAAGCGCTTGAGACAGGTTAAAAGAATATTAATGTATGTAGAGAATATCAGCTATTACACAAGTGAAGGTAAAACACTTTTTTGTGAATAAACAAAGGAGAAATAAACCCTTCTGTGTGGTGGCACAAACAAAAGAGAAACTAATCAGCCAGACAGGAGTTGTCCATGCATGCAATCTGTACCATAACTGTGCTTCCCTAAGCAGATCATTATATTAAAGAAAAATATTCATTTAAACAGTAGGATCTAAAAGCCTTTCATAAATATTTGAGGTACGCTGGTGTGCAGAAAGAAGTACAAGGGACTTCTGTACTTGCCACTTTCTACTGATAGAAATATCATCCCTTTGGGGGCTCTGTCTTGATGGCAGGGTAGGTGATAATCTTGATGATTTCTTCAAAGAGAAATTCGGCGTATGTAGTTTTAGTAAAGTTTTTGGTGAGCTTGTTCTACTTTTCTGAAAGACATAACAGAAAAATAAGGCAATTCTGATTATTGTTCTACATTTGTGTTTTCTTAACATGTTCTCATTAACTATTTCAAAATATTCAAGGGTTTTCAGGTCTATTTTTCCTTGTCAATCACAATATGTAAAACTGCAAATTGCAAAAAGCTTCTCTGAATATTTTGCAAGATTTTTCAGCACACCTTAATAACCACCATAGCTTTAAAATTGTACTTTTAACAGGTAGAAATATGTTACATGCACTCTGTACAGAATTACAGCGGATGTCAGGTGAACATGTTTTGTGAGTTTTTACTAGGATTGCCTTAAGTAGCTCATTGTAAAACAGATACAGTCACTCAGATAAGGACAGAAAGGGAGCATTCTGCCACATCATTGGGAAGGGAAGGGAAGGGAAGGGAAGAGGGAAAGGGAAAGGGAAAGGGAAAGGGAAAGGGAAAGGGAAAGGGAAAGGGAAAGGGAAAGGGAAAGGGAAAGGGAAAGGGAAAGGGAAAGGGAAAGGGAAAGGGAAAGGGAAAGGGAAAGGGAAAGAAATGGTCCATCAGCTGATTCTATGAGGTGCATAGGTCCCAGGTCATAGTTTTCTTCAAGTGCTGAACTCAACAGGGACTGGAAAACCTGTGGAGCCAAGATCCTGTCTGCCTGACCTACAGCTAGTCCTGGGTCATTTGCACACCTTGTGAAGCCAGAACTGGTCTCTGTAAGAGGCAGTTGCCTCTGGCTCCCCTTTTCAGGAATCTGGCTCCTGAACCCAGCTTCTTCTGAACAGGAAATCTGTCCCTCTGCTTTTCCTCCACTATCTCCATGAATTATTTTTAAAAAATAGAATTGTAGTTGAAAACTATCCAACTCAAAGTAACAGATGTGTGTGTGAACAGATCTATGGGCATAGCCCATTCAGTTCTTGATACTGGAACCACAGACTTGAGCCACATTCTCCAGGTACCTTCTGTCCTGAGCCTTAACACTGTGTTGCCTAAAACCTGCAGCTTTCATTGCAGTTATCTCTCAAATTCAGGCTTTCAAGGAAGAAAAGAGTCAAAACTGAACTGGCCACCTGCAAGTGACATGTTATGAAAAGGTCTGTGTTGTGTAGCTTATGACTCTCTATAGAAGCAAAAGTAATGTGTAGCTGACTGAAGGATTCAGGTGACAGAAGATGAGAACTGTGCCCTTTTTACAAACGTGATGGGTAAATTCAGGATAACTGCAGTGAAGTTGTAAGAATTAATCTGGATTAAGATAAAGCTGGTTGAAGGACAGAATCTGTGCCAATAGGTACTTAATTTTAATTTCAATCCAAAAGACCTATGAAATAGCCACAATGTAACTGAGAAGAAAAATTGACTCATGTTATAGCAACCTGTTACGTAAAGTATAGTAAAATCATGTTGTGTTTTTATATACAACCACCTGCCACAGACCAGTTTGCTAAATCTTGACTTCATAAGAATCAAGTACCATATTCTTATTCCATTGAATTCAAGGAGTTTTATCGTTATTTTTGATGGGACAAGGCTTTGTTTTTCAGTGTTGTGATCCTACCTACCTGAGGAATGGAAGGTGGTATCTTGGGCATGCAAGACTTAAGTTGCAATGGTAGCAATGACACTATATGTGGAAAAGGATCAATGTCCACCCTTGGTCTCTGTTGGCATGTGTGCCACATCTTCAGTTTTGCACTGGCAGTTTCTATTGCTGTTGAATGAGTGACACAAAATCTGGGACCCCTAGAGGAAAACAAAAAGCAAAAAGCCAAAACCACAAAACAAAACACAAATCTAAAAAGTAGAACTTCCTCAAAGCTGTATCAAACCACAAAACTGTATCAAGATATGGAGCTGTATGCACCTACAATTAAAAAGCAGTTAGTGTTAAAGATATGTTTAGACACTACACTTTTCCACATCTAAAACCAAGCCACACATAAACAAACACAGGTTGCAAATTCTGCACCATTACATAGTTGCCTTTGTATGAGTCTTCATATGAGTAGGATATGCCCCATTCATCCTACAGCAAATAACAGGGAAGGGTTGTAGGCCACAGGACATATACCACAACTCTCATGAGGCTCCCCAGCAAAGTACACAATTGCAGGTGCTTGTTTATGCCTGCAATTTGTTGATTCCTCTTGGGGAGGAGAAAAGGCATTAAAAAGTTTAGCTTATGTTTTGGAAACAGGTTAAAATTTGTATCCTTGCTTAAGCCGTCAATAACGTAAAAGGCATTTCGTATGACAGACATTGAACAGTAAAGTCTCAGGGTCAAATTCCACATAGATGTATACACAGAGCATCCTCAGAAACTTGAGAAGGGCAGTACAGAGAACAGTTTAGGACAGAATTAACCTTCTATGCCTGGAGGGGTTTCTCTAACCTGCAGCCTAGTTTACTTGAATGGTATCCAAGGTAGCTATACACAAAGTAGTTCAGATGCTTTGGCAGTAAAATAACAAGGGCTCAGTAAGGCAGATCTACCTGGCTCGTCAGCAGATTGCAGTGTAGTTTAGGATCAACTAAAAATTCAGAGGCAACATCTGCTAGTATTTACAATGACATTGCTCCCCATAATTGCCATGGAATAAGTGAAGTGAAATAAACTTAATAGGCTTACCAAAGAAAAGAGAAATTTGTTAAACAATAGAATCTTAGTTCATGTTCACTTTTTCATACCAGTAAAGAAGTAGAGGTTTCACAACTTCAGGCTGAATCCGTCTCAAATGCCTTACATTCCACTGCTCTCCATGCAGTAGATTAAGTCTGAGTAACACTTCCGAACTGAGGAAGTAGTCTCCACTGCTCAGAAGATACAGTTTCTTCATCTTATTGAGTTGCCTTGAGACAACAAAAATAGTTATATAAGCATGTATCAGCTTCTATATAGAACCAAGTATGGTTCACCCTACTGGTTAAATCGCTGTCATGCAAAATGTTTTTAATTGAAAATGGCTGAAGCCAAAATCAAAAAAAAAATCCACAGTTAAGTTAGAGACAAGTTGTATATAAGATAAAATGTAAAGTGCTATAGAATAGACAATCTGAGTTCAGCAGAGCCTTTCATTAAAGCAGTGTGTCATACCGAATGCCCTATTTGTGAATTTAAGTTATTTTATTCTTTTTTTTTCTTTCTTTCTATTGTCACCTGTTTTCCAAGTCTCTTTCTAAACAACACCATAATACTATGGTAATTCTGACTTCATGTAAGCTTTGCAAACATGATTGCAAAAATTGTTTTATCAGCTTCAACAGAGTCATTCCTAACTTCCCCTGAGAGTCATCACCTAACTTAACTTATGACACTCATGATTACTTTAATTGTGTCTGTTCTATTCAAACATTACAAGTTATTCTGAATGAATCTAACTGGGTTACAAGTATTAAAACAATGGGAATAACCAATAATGAGAAGTACCTTTGCTGCCTTGTAGTGTTTTTGAGCACCTTTAGTCTTTCAATATCCATCCAGAGCCACCAGTACCTCTCCCCAAGTGTTCCTTTAATGAACTTCTTGAATCTTTCAAACTCACGTCTGTTGCCAGTATCAGAAGTCCTGTGACTAATACACCAGGCAGCTCTACTGTCTGACCCATCACTTTCAGAACTTGATTTTGAGCTTACTTCTTCAGTGTCTTGTTCTCTCACATCTCTGTGGGAGTCCAAGACAGAAAACGGAGAAGAACTTTGGGAAAGGAGTGACTCTGCAGTGCCATGGGCAAACTTATTATTTGATAGCTCATGTATAAATACTTCAGGCTGTTTGTGGAAATCCACATTATTGTGAATGTCAGCAGTTGGCAGGTGGGTCAGTTCTGAAACAGGTTCCTTCATTACAAATTGAGTATAATCTGGTATGAATTCTTCTGGTGTCCGAACGGTTGCGCTTTCCTGTTCATTTTCTTCTTTTGCTGAGCTGTCCAATTTCGGTTCTACATAAACTCTTAACTGAGTGTGAGCACACGGTTCAGAAATGGCCACAGAAGAACCCTCCTCAGCCTCCCTGGATGTCTTCCTTAAAATGATGGCTTTTGATTTCCTTGAAGGTTGAAGGAAACTCCATTGGTGGACTTCCTTAGACAGGAAACCTGCTTCTGCATTAAATCAGAAAAGATTGTTAAAGACTCTTCTGATTCAGGACTGTTCTCTTGCATATCAACATTTCTAAGTTAAAAAATGCATATATATTTTTATATTGTTCTACTGCAGAACAATCAGACCATGTCATGCTGCAGAGCAGAGAACAGCAGAGGTGCTTCTGCTGTTGCTATATGTTTAGAAATTCAGCCCCATGACTCATAAACTCATTCCCTGTTGAATTCTGTAGAGCAGCAGAGCCAATTGTCTTGTTTACTCAGCTGACCATCCCAGCTCCTCAGCACTTGTTAAACCACCTTGTTGTGCTGCAAGGCCCAGTTTCTTCCTGAGCATTTGATCATAGTTTGATCAAAGTCACAGTATGTAGCAGGATTGTTTTTTGTTTAGGCCTGAGAAGGCTAGGAAGTGATAATTCTTGTCTATTTACGTTGGTTATTGCACTAGACTAAAACATCTAACAGGCTTCTGTCAGTTGGGTAAATTCTTGACATACATAGGACAACAAAACAGATGATTATGTCAAGGGCTCTGGAAACATTTAATAATCCTGCAGTCCAGTCTGCCACCCAGGAATGGCTTATTTCCATTTTAAAATGTTTCATAACTAACAAGTTCACAACAGTGACAAGCCCTGGTTTTTTTGGTCTACACTTCTCTATTTAATTCCTTTTTTCCCAACTCCTCATTGTCTCCATGCTATTAAGCATGCCCCAGGATCCTGGTCTGCTGGGAAAGAAACTTACTGATTCAACTTGCTCAAATACGTTTTCTACTTCTGCCAGACTGTTAGCAAATGAAGTAGTTCTGAAGCATGTTAACAAAGATAACCTTGAGTGTACATACTGCTCAGCTAGGTTGATGCTGCTGTCACTGTACAAGTCAGTCCTATAAAACTGAATAACTACAGGTATATGAACAGCAGCAGAATCTAAGTGAAATAAAGAAAAAAAAAAGTCGTAATTCAGCTGTGGCTCTACAATATCTTCATATCAATCCAGTGTTTAAACTATAAAATAGACTGAACCTTCTGTATTTCCCTAAAGTCAAGATGTAGGCTATTGTATTGCTATTGTATCGCTATTGTATCGCTATTGTAGGTAGGCAAAACATTGTCAGTGAAGAGACTGCTACAACTTCTAAGCACATGTACTACATGAGGTTGTGACAGAAAAGGGCTAAATCTCTCAGATCCACTGAATTCACATTTTTAACGTTAATCAGCCAGTGAAACCATCTATGGTTGCCTAGTCAATAAATGACAATGGTAGTTAGACATTCTTTCCATCTTCCTCCAAAAAGAAGCTACATCTATCTAGTGCTGGCCACTGTCACAGACAGCCAATTGGATTGGGAACATGGCTAGCCTGCTCTGCACTTACATCATTTTCTGTGTAAGTATATATGGCACAATATTTTGACATTAATATTAAAATCAGTGTGGTTTAAAATATGTTCTCTTATTTTTTAACTGTTTTCAAATGTTTTCACTTGAGAAAGAAAAATTATAGCTTCTCAACACAGTTCTGTGAAACTGAAACATGAAGAATAGATTTCACAGGACCTGAGGCAATTAGGGAGGGAGAAACACAGCTCTTGATTAATCAACAGCCAAGTGGCTCAGGGTTTTGCTCAAGACATTAATTGTTAACCTTGATCCAACTGAAGCAGTGAGCAAGGAATTCAAACTGGATTGTCCAAGCAAATACCTTCAGCTATTGAACTCTTTCTAATTGCAGGCTGGCTCTGAGAATCTTAGCTGATGCGCTTTACTGCTTCCAGTGCCTGACCCCTACACCAGTTGAATACTGTGCCTGAAAAGAAAATCTGACTAGAAGAATGAGAGATTTCCCATGAAATAAGCATAAGGAAGAATAATAAGCACAGGGAAAGTGACAGTTTGTGTTATAAAATAATTTTTTTAGATGTGAAATATTAACTGAGGCAAAATGCTGTTGACTGCAGGACAGCTGCAGCCAAAGAGGACAGAGAAGCCTGTGCCCAGCCCACTGCAATACAGAGCTACATAAATGCTTTGCAAGAATGGTGCATTTGTGACCTCTCTACTCAAAGTACTGCAAAAATTAGTGGTGAAGTCATGAGCTGCAAACAAAAGCAGCTTCAATAACTTTGTTAATCATTCATGCATCAGCAATATATATCCTGGAGTCATCCTCATGGGTTTGAGGAAGAAGACAGGCTTCTGGAGCTACCATGTCTTCCAATTTACGATCCAGCCATTGGACACCAAGGTCCCAGCAGTACAAGTCTCAGAGTAGAATGGCTGCTTTTCTCCCCAAGAATGGGGGCCAGCAAATTCCTAATATGAGCTGACACTTCCCGGTTCGTCTTGCTACTGCCTACGAAACAGAAGCAAGGTTATCAGGTATGCCCATAATGTCCATAACCTGCAATCAGGTATGTCCATAATTCATCTGTATGTTCTCTCCCA